AAGTAGGACAACAGATTGGCACTGATAACGACGTCAAATTGCAGGTGGAGAGGAGCAGGAACGACATCGAGGTTGGATTGATAACTGCGGTGAAGGTCGGGGAGGTGAGGCTTCTGTGGAAGAAATAAGATTGTAGGTTGGCGATGGTGATGGCTTTGAATCACAACTGGAGAGGAGCAGAGGGTGCTGGAAGGGGCAGCCAGAATGTGTGGCTTGCAGGGGAGCTGCAAGAGTAGGTGACAGGTGGAGTATGAAGGAGGGCAGCAGGGGCGGCGGGGTCGAGATATAGCTGAAACACTATCTCGACATCAGATACAACCCTCGAAGGAAAAATACAAAGAGTAAAACTTGAATTCAGATATAAAAAACAAGACCCCTAACTCTAAGCAAATCATCTTATATTTATAATGAGGCTAGGACTTTATTTTAGTCAATGCTTAAATCAAATCAAATCAAAATTTTAGATTTAGAAAAGAGGAATAAAATATTCAGAAATTATTATTTGGAAATTCAATTTAAGAATGATATTATAATGGAAATTTAGGAAAGAAAAATAAATATAGCTGAAGCACTATCTCGGCATCGGATACAACCCTTGAAGGAAAAACAACAAGAGTAAAACTTGAATTTAGATATAAAAAGCAAGACCCCTATCTCTAAGCAAATCATCCTCTATTTATAATGAGGCTAGGACTTTATTTTAGTCATTACTGAAATCAAATCAAAATTTTAGATTTTGGAAAGAGGAATAAAATATTCAGAAGTTATTATTTGGAAATTTAGTTTAAGAATGATATTATAATGGAAATTTAGGAAAGAAGAATAAAAATATTCAGAAATTTTGATTTGAAAATTCAGTTTAGGAAAGAAATTATAATGAAAATGTAGATTTAGGAAAGAAGAATAAAAATGTTAGAAATTTTGATTTGGAAAGACTTATATTAGGAAGATGCTAAGAAGGAAAGAGGGGAAGGGGAGAGAAGGGAAAGGGAGGAGTGGCAGCTCTCCTCCCTTTGAGGACCGGTCGGTCCTCCATAACCCCTGCGTCAGTGTTAATTGGTTAACCATTGGACCAACTGTTTTTGTGTTTAATATCAATCTCTTGCTTGCCCCCACCCATGATAAGTTTGGAAAGAGGATAAATTCTCAAGTGAATCTGAATCAAATTAACATGATTTCAAACTGAGCTTGGTATGGTCTGGTTCCTAATTTTTGGCGCCTGCTATGATCATAAAATATACAGTCCTTGATTGAGCTTTTTGATTTTTTATTTACGAGTCATTCCACTCAATTTTCTGGCATCTCAACATGGCCTTAATGAATCATATTTATGTGGCTTCAAACAGAGCTCTGTTTGCTCTGGTTCCAAATTCTTGGCATCAGTGCAAGCCTCTCGAGTTACCTGATTGCTCTGGTTCATGAAAAGCTAACGGACCATAGTTGCAAATCTCATCCTTAAAGCCTCAATTGCAAAAAAAAGTTAATTAATGTTCTTTTGTCATTGCATGGTATTAATGCTAGCTTTGACAAATAAGATGATAGTAAAATTTTCTTGAACCTCAGTATAGAAAATTAATCCATTCATGTTGGCAAGAATCTTTGTGCATGCCTTTATTGATCTGGTCTGTTTTATCTCCACAGCTCGGATCATCTCACCTTCATTTTTTATTTATTCGGATTTATTGCTCACCCACATTCTCTCTGAAATCTTTTCATTTTAATGCCGTCCATTTCATTCAAGATTCGACGAAGTGTTATTTAAGTGCAGCTAAATCTAATATACATATTCCTGTTAAAGCATCTGCATGTATTTTGAATGCATTTCCTGGAAGTTTTCATTTGATCGGTGATTAAAATCTCCATTGACAAGAAGTTCAACGTTGCCTCAACAGGATTTGTTAACCTCTCAAGTTATAGGTGGCCTTTATGTTAAAGTTTATATCTTCTAATTTATTTATTGACACCAAAAAATTTCAGAGGATCTTCTGCTGCCGTGCCATGTAGCACAAAACATGATATTCCATCATAGAAACTTGTAGGGGCATTTACATACAATACCGCACAATTTATATATCTAACAACAAAACTTTACTTTTAATATTTATATATCACCCAAATCAAATCTTTAATATCACATCAAAAGTACCACTATTTTAACTTTTAAAAAGTGAAATACACCTTTTCATAAATAGATAGTGTGGTATTTACGTAAAAAATAAAGTTTATGGGATTGGTTATGTAAATACATAATTGAATGGTATGTATGTAAATCTTCCATGTACTTGTATTGTACTGAATTTATGACCGCTAAAGGAACATTTAAAAAAAAAAGGGGATATAGCTAGTTAAGGAGTGGAAAAGTAGGCAAGAATTGTTGATTTCGCTTGAATATGTTGGACTTCTTCCCACCATAATATAGGTTTAAGTGAATAGTGATATCAGAAAGATCATTTATTGATTATACTCTAGAGGGGCCCATGTTACATATATATACTTCATACTTTTGCATTATGCTTTGTTCTTGATTCTTTTCACCACACCATTTTTAAGTCAAATTGCAATGTCAAGCTTATGACTATAATATCATGTTAAATACACGTGTTTACTGTTTGTGTAATTGAGCTGGAGATTTTATTGTAATACTGATTAAATCTCCTTGCAGGCTATAAAGTATCAGGTTTCTTTCAGAGGTTGTTGTTTTACTTCTTTTGATAGCTGTCGCAGAAAATCTTTGACCATATTAATTTTGCTAGTCTCAAAATTTTTTTGATCTGAAGAAAATAAATCATGTATCATACTTCATGATGTTTATATACAATTAGCTCATCATCAAGGAGTAAGAAATAGTTGCTCTCCATAAAAAAAATTAAAAAAAAAACAATTGTCGATTCTTTGCATACGACCTTCATGGTTTTATGGTGGAAACTCTTGCTGAAAATGAAAATGCTTGTTACGCTTACCTTCATAAAATATGATAATATGCTCTTCATGCAGACCCTATTTCTACCCAGCTGTGAATATTTAGCATCATGGTTTTAGAATCATCTTCTTGCTATGCATTGATAGCAAATGACTGTGGCACGAACTCAAAATTGCCGGTGATTTCGAAGATTAAGGGTCTGTTTGGGGCAGCTGCAGCATCCATCTTATCCAAGTAATTTTGATAAGCTACTGATCGACAGCTGATCTGAATAAGCTGATTGACTGCTTGATTTGTGCGTTTAGGAAACAACTGATTTGCAGTTGTTTCTGGATAAATGATCATTCTGTGCTCAAATTTAGTTCTTTTACTAGTATAACATTCATTTTGTGCTAAGTGCAAATTGAAGTAATCTAACTAGCAAAACAGCCACTTAATTTTGTGCTAAGTGCATTGAAGAAATATTTAGACGTACTTATCTTCATTATTTTTTGAATAAATATATAAAGTAAAACCACTTAATATTATATCATTTAAATATAGGAGATATATCATGTGTTAACTTTTTTAAGTGGAGTCCCAACATCTTGATTTTATTTTATATTTTCTTTTTTTCTTCTTTTGACAAGGTAAGTCGTATTGAAATAAATTCCATAGACTTTTCCATATTGTTTGACAGAGCTGTTGATTTATTTCGATTGAGGAAAAGAGGGAAAATTAATACTCCATAGAAGCAGAAGGATAGTGAAAGATTAGAGACTCCATTATTACCTTGGGAGCAAGATTAATCTCCTCTTTAGATGTAGAAGCTTCGGTAAGGATATTCTGGTTGAGCGAGTTCAGATTAAAACTGAAAAATAAATATGCCCAAATAACTAATAGCTGAAAGCAAACAAATGATGGGACTAGTTTTCCAAAAATTCACCTAGCATTCATGGTTGAATCAAATAACTCTACGTTTTCACGCATCCCATATGGCATATTCGCGAGCATATGATGAGCTTCTTTTGCTGGGGCAGAGAAAGCTGGATGAGTTTCCGCATCTTAAGAGATTGGGATCAAATCAAGAACAACAATAATGTGAAAACTATAGAAACGGCAGATTGGAACCTTGGCTTTGGGGATTGCACTTCTTTCCTCTTGTAATCGGACCTTGATTGCTTGAATCTGGGACTCCATCGCGGTTAGGGTTGCGTCCTTAGCAGTGAGATCGGGTATGTTGGTGAAAGGCACTGGGGGTTTTGGGACAGGGTTTCGCCTCAGTTCATGTATTGGGAAAAAAAGAGGCAGAGATTACTTTTGCGTGCTAAGACGAAATCCTGGAGCTCCATAATGCGAGCTTTAAACAAGAAGACAAGCTTGTCAAGTGAAGCGGAAGAGGGCAACCGCGTAAAATGCCAAAGGAAGCTTTGGACCGTGGGGCTCGACCCGCGGTCCGCATTTAATTAAAGAGGCAAACATCATTTTGGAAAACACTCTCCAAACGATTTTTTTAAACGGTGAGGCGAATTTTTCGAAACGCCGCCGCTGTTGATAAATTGTCCCAAACGCACCCTAAATAGGAAATCAAGTCTTTAGCCTAAAAAAAATAAAAACAAATAAATATATGTTTGTGGTATAGAAGTCATGTAAAATAGCTCGTAATAGTAAAATCCATGGTTTTTTTATTAATTGTGATGGTGCACTTTTTACAGCAAAGTTGATGAAACTTTCATTTTCACTGAGTGCCATGTTTGTTTGTTCCTTTTTTTAATCGAAAAAAGTGTCAAAATGATCCTCATAGTCATTGTAGGGAGTCATTTTAGTTCCAGAGTCTATAAAAATGTCAATTAAGTTTATCGAATTTTTTAATCGGGGCTAAAATAGTCTCCAAAGATTGCTTTTTTAACCCGTATTAAAGGACTTTGGGGATTAATTTGACACTTTTATAGACTCTCGGACTAAAATGACACCATGTAAATAGTCAGAGGACTACTTTGGCACTTTACTCTTTTATAATCAAGTCATTTGTGCTCTTAGATATTATTTTGTTTTCCTTTTCTAATAAATTTTCATTTTCTGTCTTTTGGAGCATGTTTAGATCCGAGATGGTTTGCACTATAATCCATACTTCCCTGGTGGTGCTATAGCTATGCCTCAAATGCTTATTGATGGTGCTGTTGAGTATGAAGATGGCACTCCTGCCACCGAAGCCCAGGTATTTTATTACAGTTTTTATTCATATATATTTAATTTGGCATATTCTTTGGTTTTTATTTTTGGTGCATTTACATCCGTAGCACACAATTCTTATTTATTTACGTATCTTACACTTAAACTTCCATATTTATTTACATATCTTACACTCAAACTTCCATAGTTATACATAGCACTCAATCTTTAATTTCACAAAAAATATGAATATTACCACTTTTTAAATGTGAAATACACATTTTCATGCATATGTTTAAAGTACGAAATTGCTATAAATGTAAATATGAATGTTTAAATGTAAGATATGTAAATACATAAAAATTTTGTGCTATGTATGTAAATTTCCCTTTTTTGGGGGGTACTGGACTATTTTATCTGATGTCAGTAAACCGGCTAAGATGTTCAACTCTACCTTTATTTTCATTATAGATGGGGAAGGATGTTGTCGCATTCCTTTCATGGGCGGCTGAACCAGAGATGGAAGAGCGCAAATTGGTAATCTTTGCTTTTCTGACTTGTTTGCATGATATAAATTATAGGATTCAGGTCTTTTTTTTTTTTTTTTTGCTCCACATTTTCCTTATTTTATATATATATATATATATATATATATATATATGATTAATGTGCTTAAAAATGGGGGATTTAGCACTTAGCTCTTGTATTTCTGCATATGCAATATATAAATCATTGTAGTTTCCTATTGTTTAAAATTCATCAAAAGATATGCATGAAAAGATATTGTTGTTTTCACGTAAAGCTAATGTCATGATATTTTTATTGTGATTTGGAGATTATAAATATAGATATATTTATATATTCGAATGTAAATAAACTAAAAAAACTCACTATTCTATATGTGCTCATTGTTTATTATTATTATTATTATTAGGGCCATTGACAAACATACCATCCATCTTCTATATAAACTTTTTTCTTTACATTTCATACCACCCAAAATCTTTTATGTTACATTAAAAATACCACCATTTTGACTTTTAAAAATGAAATACACACCTTTTCATGCATAGGTAGGTTGGCATGCATGTAAAAATTGAATTTTAATGTTAGATATGTAAATGCATAGGAATTTAGTAATATGTATGTAAATCTTTATCATTATTATTATTATTATTGAGTAATGTGTAAAATCTGCATTGTATAGTTTCAAATATGGACTCTCCCCAAGTAGAATTTTAACATCAACTCAGCTATATAAAACAAAATTTATATCGAACATTGATATTTTTACAAAACAAACCTCTTTTTTTGTAAATAACTTAATATCTAATTGGGGGGTGGTATCAATCATCATGTAGATGGGATTCAAATGGATCTTCGTGTTGTCTCTTGCTCTGCTCCAAGCCGCATACTATCGGCGCCTGAAGTGGTCTATTTTCAAGTCACGCAAGCTGGTTCTCGATGTCGTCAACTGAACTGATCATTCTCAGGAAATAATTTTGTGCAGACTAGCTCAATAAACAACTTTGGGTTTATGTAATTGCCAAAGGGATTTTTCTTGAGCCCAATTCTTTTCTCCCATTTTGCAAGGAAACAAAATAATCCTTACAAAAATACTTGTTGTTGTTGATGGTACCGTACAACTTTTTCCTTTTTTTTGGGTCTTTTTTTTTTTTCAAGTGGAGATAGATGCATTATCATGAGACAACGTTTGTTTTGTTTTGTTTTTTTGTTTTTTGAAGATTTTATGTGTCAAATATGTATGGGATTTGATCTTATAATCTTGTTATAATGTCCAAAAGATTTATGAAGTAACATTATGGACACCTACTTCACAGTACCTTGATATTGTCATGATTTGGAGAATCCTTTACAAAGCAATGACTGCTTAAAGGTCTCAATTTTTTTTTTTTTTTTATACTTTACATCCGTTGAACATAATTTTTATGAATTTACATATCATAGTACCTAAAATTTGATATTTATGTTTATAACATTCTGGTGTGGTAAATTTGTGAAATAATTTTTTCGAGCAAATCCATAGCCTATAATGTTTGAATAAAGTTGTTTGTCACTTCCCAAAAGAGCTCTTAGAAGTGGTTGCAGCCCAAAATACTTTTTTTGGTTTTACACTAATCGGTGTGAGATTTTTTGCCCGTGATATTCTTCTTCACCCAATCACGTCAGGGTCCTACTGGATTATGGAGAGCCTAAAAGTCAGTATCTTGGCTCTGATACTACTTGTCACCTCCCAAAAGAACTCTTAGGGGTGGTGAGCAATCTAGGACTTAAATATTATTTTTTGACCCTACACCTAACTGATGTGGGAGTTTTTGTCTGTGACATGTTGCATCAGTTATATATATGCTCGTAAAAAATGGCATGCATTGCATATTCTTTTAGCTGTAAAATTAAACCATATCTTATTTATATAGTATCTTGTTTATAGCAGAAATGTATTCTATAAGATGTTGGATTATAAAAAAATGAACCGATTATTTTATGTGGTTCAATTATTTTATGGATTATAAAAAAATGAACCAATATATAAACAAGGAAAGCTCAAGGATCTATGTGATTCAATTATTGAATACTGTTGTCAAACATAACCGAAGGGAAATACTTTATAATTATGTGTTTATATATTCACATGTTTTATTTATTTACAAAATTAAAATACGATTATTATTTTAGAACATATTACAAAAATCTTAATAAGAACATATAGAATCTCAAATCTATATATTTTTCAGTTTCTTCTGATTCTCAGAGTTGATTATGATACATACAAATACATTAATTGAGCAAATCATTTTTTAGGATGTGTCAAAAATAGAAATTAAAAATTGCATGGTTTAATCTTTATTTTATGATAAATTCATTTTTGAGGTAGTGTGTTAAACTTAGAAATAAAAAATTGCATATATGATGTTTATTTTTTCTTAAAAATTCTCATCTATTATAAGATTTGTTATATAGTTACTTATGTGCATGGTTTGTGAACAAGAGCAAAATATCTACTCTCCAATTAGGAGAAAAATGTTCAAAGTATAATCTAACCGCTAATTTCTAATTTAGTTGTCATTAAGACTTATTGTATGTTGGAGGATTTGTGAAGGTAGACTTATTAATTGGTCTTAGAGTTGAACATAGATCCAACACACATACATGTAATTTAAAAGTAGTAGGAGGAGACATTGGAATTTATGTGTAAGAACATAGAAAAGGGAAAAATTAGGGTCTAGCCCAGATGAAGAAATTCATAAGTATGTAAGTACAACAATATGTAATTTTTTTCACAACTGAGAGAGCATGGTTACAATTTTATACTAAATACAATGCTTGTTCGTATATCATGCAGAGAAAACTTCAAGTGTCTAGAGGAAATCACCTTATTTTGAATATAGTGGTTGTAAGCAGTTGCCGTCAGGATTTATTGTGAGATCTTTAATACAACATTATTCTTTACACAGATTTGGGATGTGATGTTAGCAAGTAGAGTTTGCTGATGGCGATGAGTAGAGGTAGCCGACGTTGTTGACTGGTGGATGACGAACGATAGGAGGTTGTCGATGGTAGTTAGCATCTACGAATGCAGGAAGTCATTACTGGATCTTCAATACGACGTTATTCGGTATACCATATTTAAGATAATAGTTAACAAGCAGAGTTTGTTGACGACAGTGAGAGGCCAGTCGCGGTCAACAACAACTAGCGAGTGGTGGTCGATGGTTGTCAGAAGTTTTCTTCGGATTTTCAATCTAGAACAACACTGGAATTTAACTTCTTTCCGGTCTAAGAGAAGCAATGAGTTTGATGAAGTGTTCTCTTTGTTTGTCAATCGTTTCACCTTCATGGTGGTTGATAAAGCGTTCTTTTTGCTTGTTCCTTGCTCCTCTCACACCAGAATGAATAGGGAGCCCATTTTCTCAAGGAAAGCTCAAGGACTAAAAACTCTCCCACACTAAACTCAAAAGAAGATGCAATGGAGGAAGAAGAAGATGCGGAAGAGGAAAATTGACTTAAGAGAAGAAAAATATGAGGGGAGAGACTTTTACCTTACTAAGCACTTTGTTAAGTACTCACCCAAGAGTTCTCCTCCTCTCTCAAGCTCTCCAAGGACAAAATAGCTCAACAAAATTCCCCCCAAGGGAAATCTCAGCTGCCTTTTTTTCTCAAAAAATCCTCTAAAAAAATGGCCATTGAGCTCCTCTAACCTCCCTTGAGCCTTTTCCCCAAAATGGCAAAATACACATGTAAAGAGCTTTTCTCCCCAATGTCAGGCATGCAAGGCATTTGCTTTTGATTTGTCAAGCCATGGAGTATCCACTTACAACTCATGGCCAGGAAAACCCTCTATGTGGCCAATCTCTTGTCACAAATGGTTTAAAGTCCAAAACAGGTTATTTGGTGGTGCCAAGGCACTGTTGTCATGACATAGGTGTGTCAGGTTCGTAGCATAGGCACACTAGTCCAAAGTGGCTTAAAGCAAGTTTAAGCATCTCTTTGGGCTGAGTTCATGTAGAAGAAATATTGTATTTCCTCTCATCCTCTTGCTTATACAAGAACTCAGCCCAAAGAGATGCTTTGGCCCTAAATCAAATCCAAAGCTTAATTGAGTTGATATACATAGAACCTTCAATGGACCTGAATCCCAAGCCACCTTCAAACACTCACATCTTCAACTTAAGCCAATGAATTTGGGATGAGAAGCCACTCCACGAGAATTTGTTGAACATCCTTTCCACCCTCTAGATGATAGATTCAGGCATTTTAAACATTATAAGGAATAAAGAGAGATAAAAGATAGAACACTTTTAATACAAAATAAAAAATGTATTTTTTTAATAATCAAAACCTACAAAGTTTAAATAACACATTCAAAACACAATATTTTTTAACATAAGAAAAACTTCTAAACTTTGAATATTTTGACTCAAAATACACAAATGTTTTTCCACACAATAAACATCTACATAATTTAACACTGCATTCAAAACGTATAGCATATATTTTTACATAAGCAAAACTTCTAAAATTTGAAAGATTCCATTCAAAAAGTGCAATGCATTTTTCAGATAATCAAAACCTATAATGTTTAAATATTTCATTCAAAAACTAATACATTTTTACTTCAAAAGAGAGGCATGCATATTCACACAAACAAAGAAAAAAAATGTGTCAAATCAAAATCTATATATCGAGGATATGAGCATGTGAGCATTGAAAAACATACACATGAACACTAAAACCCTTATATTAAACACATAACCACATAGGAATTGAGTGATATGCATGTAAAACTAAAATTAGGTGTTAGGCATACAAATGCATGTAAATTATACGACACATATGTAGATCCCAAATATAGTTGTTAAAGTATAGAAATATGTGAAATCAAATGACATTTATGTAGAGACGAAATTTAAGCATTAGTGAAATGACATTTATTTGGAAACCTTAATTTGAACATTAAGTATACAGATATAAAATAAATTTCAATGGCATGCATGGAAATCTCATACTCTTCATTTTGCTTTAGATTTAGACTAAGCAAATTACTTTGAATGAAAATATTTAAACATTGTAGGTTTTTATTATGTGGAAAATAAATTGTGTATTTTGAGTGGAATCTTCAAAGTTTACAAGTTTTGCTTACGTAAAAATATATGCTATGTGCTTTAAATGCAATGTTTAAATTTTGCCGGTGTTATTTGTGTGGAAAATATATTATGTATTTTGAATGAAATCTTTAAATTTTATAAGCTTTGTTTATGTGAAAAAAAATCATGTTTAGAAAGTGTTGTATAAACTTTGTAGGTTTTGATTATATGAAAAATATATTTTGTATTTTGGATAAGATCTTAAATGTTTATAAGCTTTGCTTATGTGAAAAAATATGATATGTGTTTTGAATGTGGTGTTTAAACTTTGTAGGAGTTATTTATATAGAAAAAGCATTGTGAATTGTGGATGAAACATTTAAAACTTGTAGATTTTATGTATGAGAATATATTGTGCATTTCCTTTTGGTGCGATACTTAAAGCTTTAGGTTGTATGTGTAAAAAATACACTTCATGTATTTTAATATGTTAAACCTTAAGTTGTGTAAGTGAGAAAATACATTAAGCACTTGAATGCTATATTTATGTGTGAAATGTAGTTTACACTTGAATGCTATGTTAATGTGTGAAACATTGTCATACTTGAATGCTTTTTTTGATGTGTGAAAAATGTGATGACATTTTGTTATGATACTTGAACTATGAATGTTAAACATGTGAATAAAGCTTAGATGTCAAATGTACAAATGCATTAGCAGATATGCATCTGAACTCTCTTTTGCATTTTCATAGCTAACACTATCATTTTGACCTTAACTTTAAACTTTGAGCACCATGTATGTAATCATGTAATTGAAATATTAAGTATGCAAATAAATGAGAATTCAAAAACATGTATACTTTTCTTCAAAGAAATGCATTGAATCATGGCGTTGCCTTGAACATCTCTCTTTGTGTATTTCTTGTGAGGTGATTTCTGTTTGTCATTTCTGCCCAAACTTATTTGCTTTTCAGGTACAATTCTAACCATTTGTCTTTCCTTTTCAATTTCAAAGGTTAAAGAATCCTAGGTTACGGACTTCCCTTCCTATAGGATTAGAGTCGCTATTGTGGTTTTCCTATTCTCTTCTAATGTAGAAAATCCTTTGTTTGCTCTCTGGATCAATTAGATCCAACGGCTGCTCGTAGACAAGTCTCATCCCCTAGCTAGGAATAGGATATGCAATCAGGTTGTCAACTTCCATCTTTGGAAGAGATGGCTTTGATTGACTCATCCATAAAAAATCATCTTGCCTAAAAACCTACGCCGAAGCATGGCACTCAATCATACGTGATCACATGCAAGGCACATTTGTGTCGGTCTCGACTTGACAATTAACTCGGTTAAAAAAAATAGAATACTAAGATGAATAAAAGATCAACCAACCAACAAAATTATTAAACACATATTGTGTATATGTGTGTATATGTATGCACGTATGTATGTAGATATATGTATATGTATGTGTATGCTTTTAATCATACACATATATTTATATAGTGTTTGTCAAAACATCGAATGAACACTTATTCAAAGCAACAAATTAAACATATTAAACATATAATAATAATAATAATGTTTAGAAAAATAATTTAAATGTAAGTTAAATTTAATTAATTAAACCTAAGTAATAAAAATAATAATCAAACATTAAGTTCAATTCAATTTAAGCGAAATAAAACAAACCCAACTTAAATGCGTAATTAAATGTAAATTAAATTTAATGAAGTCGGCCCGAATAACAAACTAAATGTAATCAAATATAATCTAATTTTAAATTAAATCAACTAAAGTTAGTTAAATCACCTAAATTTTAAGAATAATTTAAAGATTTTTACATTAAACCTTTTCAGTTAGGGACATAAATTTATGACTTCAGCACTCTAACCCATCAAATATCATTAAATTGAATTCAAAGTTAAATTAAAAGCCAACTAAACAAACTTTAATAGAAGGTGTAACTAAGTCAATCTCACTTTTCACAATGCTTTTTATAACCTTAATCAAAATAAAAAAAAAAAAGTAAAATTGGAATTGAAACACTTGTACAACACTTAGACAACTTAAACACCACCAAATGGTAACAAATTGAACCTGAAACTTGTATTACAACGCTTTTAGACATCTTTGCTAGTCTACTAACCTAGAATTAGTTTAGGTCAATGGCAGATGTGTGTGATTTTCTTTTATGAGCACCATTTTCATGCTTGAATTGTGTGTGGATGATGCCATGTTTTTGCCAATATAAATGGACATTTAGGGGCGATGTCTGTGCTAGCTTACTAACCTAGACTTAGTTTAGGTCGACAGTGATGTGTGTGATTTTCTTTTATGAGCATCATTAACACGCTTGAATTGAGTGTGGAAGGTGCTATGTTTTTGTCATTGTAGATGGACATTTAAGGGTGATTGTTGTTTGCATAGATTGTATGGTAGAGTGACATTTACACATTTTTTTGTCGGTGGGCGTGCTAATATGTGATAAAAAGGGAGCACAAATTAAGTTGACCTAATCATATCTTATGCGGGTATTTATTATTATGTGCCCCTATATACAAGCACAGCCAAGTAAGACAGGGAGTCTGGTGCTAGTCCAACTAGTATCTGTGTGATGCTTTTATTTATAGTCTTTCTTACGTATGCTAACATATTTTGCAGGTGTTGTAGTAAGTGTATGATATTTTATTTCTTTTTAGTCTAAAGTTAATATTGTCTTTGTTGGCTAGCTTGGATGTTCGATGGGTCTGAACTCTGAAGTGAGACTTGCCTGACGATGGAGCAAAGATGAACCCCAACAATACAATGAAGCAAGGATGAACCTCAAATTACCAGAACATGATCTAAAGACAATCAAAAGGCCAAGCCAGTGATGGGATTGATGTAGGTCTAGACCGGGTTATATAAGGGGCTAATGTTTGGCTGCCCCATTTCCTTTTCTTTTCTTGTGTAAGATGGCATTTAGCTACCCTTCTTTTTCCTTATTGATTTGGTTTTAGTTACTTGCTTTATTGCATATTTGTCTGTGCATTAGCAATACCTGTTTTCTCTTTAGCAATACCTGTTTTCTCTTAGGTTTTTTTTTTTGGTGTTCGTGTGTCTAACTGGGCTTCGCTCATGTTTGACTCTTGGGATGATAGATTTTCCACTAATTTCAGCTTTAACTTACCTGTGCCTTGCTTTGGTTCAGCTTTCTTTTCTTTCTTCATATCTGTGTGGTTGTAGCTTCATATCTGCGTGTAACTTAAAAAAAAGTAAGAACGATTGTATTACAAGCCCTAAACGACGGCAGACAGAAAAAAATGGTGAAGATCTCAAGGAGCAGGTCAAAAAAATAATGCATTATAAAAGAGCACATAATATTTTTCAGTGATTTTTAAAATAAAATGTAAAAATAACCATCTAATTAAAATTAAGTTCTTATTTTTATTTTTTAAATAAAATAAAATTAATGCCAAATAAATCCTAATTTTTTTTAATTAATCGAAGTTAAAAAAATATTGAATTTTAAAGATTTTGTATTTTCAGGAATCATTTTAAAGTCCTTGTATGGCAGCTGCTACTTGAAGTTAGAGAAAAAATATGATATAAGCTCTGCAACCAACTTTAACATTTATCACCTAATAATGTTTTTTACATGAGCAAAACAAATGAAAAAAACGAAAGCATGTAAAGAACTAACATACCTCTATCTTGAGCTATTATAATCATTCAATTGACTTGAGTTTTTAGCATACAAAACAATTTGGTATCCACAGAACAAGTGAACTCAATCCACTCACAAGGCAAGGAACTATCAGAGAATCATCTGACGTGTTAATAAAAAGATGTGGCAACCCAGCTACATAGATCAGTAATAATATCAACCAATAACATATAATAAATATATAAAATGAATGAATTATTTAAAACCATCATTTGTGTGTGATTTGAAACAAAGGATGCCTCTCTATATCGTCGAAACTTTGAATATCATTTACGACAAGAACCAACATAAATATCATATATAGATCTTAAAGCTTCAATTATCTGCAACACAAACAAATCACAATGATAGCTATATTACAAGAAGCAGAACCCCACCAATGATAAATAAATTAAACATCCAATGAAAAATGAAGTAACTTTGCCACACGACAGAGTTCTTTAAAATATATGGCTTTTGAATGCAACATAAATACCAAGTCCCCTGAAAACTAGGGCTCAGCTGATTCAACTTTTGGGGCATCTTTGAGCTCATCTCCAGTGTCCTCCTACAATTAAGAAAAAAATTGGTTTTGTCTGGATCAGGCATTTGGCTTTTGTAAAAATCATATAATGAATCAAATTATGAAGAAACAAATTACATTTATATCAGAGGTCCACAGTGTCAAGTTGTCTCTGAGGAGCTGCATGATCAATGTGCTGTCCTTGTACGACTCCTCGCCCAATGTGTCCAGCTCGGATATAGCCTCATCAAAGGCCTTTTAAGAGAGAAAAATAAATTTCATGAAATGTTAGAATGGGATAGAATGATGGTAATTTAGAACGAGAGAAGCTTGAATATTGTGCAATCTAAAATGCTGTAATATTTCAATTTAGAAAGACAGATTAAATGATGTGAAGAAGCCTATTTAATAGGTCATTTTATGTATTAAAAAACATTTACAACAAAACACAAAGCTAGGATTCACATGAAATGCGTATGAAAAGAGCCTTCTTAGGAGATAATCTTAGCTATTTTAATATTTGCTTTCCGGTAAGCATTAAAATAACACTGTTTCACTTGAAAAAAATATGATGGGGAGTTATCTTATATTTTATCAAATAATAAAAAAAAAGATCCCACTTAGTGGGATAAAAGGCTTCTTGATATAAAAACCTAAGTATTTAAGTATATTTATATGTTATTTTGGCGTTCCATCTTATTTACATGTTTTTACATATTTATTGAGGCGCAAAAGAGTCAGTTTAATGTAAAAATAATAAAAATGAGGTGATACCAATAACAAAAACCTTCGCATTTAATATTTTTCATGTCTCGAGTACTAAATAATAGTTGGTTAAATGACATATGTATGGTATGGTCTCGAACTAATTATAATTGCCCATATATATATGAAAATTGATATAGAAACAAAGCTTGAAATTTTAGTATGTCCGCTAACTAATTGATCATGCCCTTAAAAAGGGTATCATGCTAAAAAAATTCATATAATATTTCCATGTTTCCCATGCTATATGCCAAATGCTGATGGACAATAGTAGAAGAAAACTCATACGTTTAGTCAAACTACTGAACCTAAAAATTGTCTGAGGAAACTAGAACCTTATGAACACATCCAACGAGAAGAAGGATAAAAAAAATTTTGTGAGAGAAAAAAAGAGGGAAAAGCAGTAAAATTTCATCATAATGAGTTTAAGTAAACAGGAAACTGCCTCCAGTGGATTGTCCCCACGACCCCCAATATATGGATTAAAATACACATTAAAGCATTATAGAATAAGCAAAATATTGAGCAATAGTAACAAAAAAAAAACATCTAACAATGCAAAATAATTACTTGATTTAATACGAGTGGTGTGTAGCTTAATTGGGACCACTAGTTTGTTAAAATTGTTGACTTGCTAAAGAATGTTGACTTTGTTGAAAGAGTCTACATAAAGTCATCGGCTGTTCAGAATTGCTGAAAATAGCTCCTGAGCTGAGCGAGTAATATGAGCGAGGATGAATACCGTTAAGGTTTGGCAACTACTCCAAACAAAACATTAAAATGAGTAGGCTTTGGTGAGCTCACCATGATCTTTGTGAGCCCATGATGATCCAGGCAAACTCATGCAGATTGGGGCGAGTTCATTTTTTACCATTGTCTTAACCGAATTATGTTCCAACTTAACCTACACCAAGAACATGGAATATTTGGATATGCATTTTGTTCTCCAATTCTTTTCTATCTTTAAAAGGCAAGTGCAAACATAATATGAAAATGAATAAAATCTCTAATATTGCTAAGTCAGCAACTTAATATGAGTTAATCATGATTTGATATGTTTCTATAACTTTTGTATAAAAGAATAATTAAATATATCCCTAAATTCTTTCAAAATCATTACTGCTTTCCTTTTTTTTTCTTCAAAGCATCAACAGCATTAAGAAGTTTTTTGCCAAAATGCTGAACCAAAAAATACCAAACGATAGAAAAGAGCCAGGAAAAATTTCATGGAATCTTCCTCTCATCTATTTAAAAAAGATAAAAGTAGGTAAGGGTGGGAAAAGGAATGTTGCAATTGAAATTCCTGCTCTGCTGCGCGTAAACTTCTCAAAAAAAAACTTCCAAATACAGATATTAGCAGTATTGGCATCTATTTCCCAAGGTTCAACACTGATAAAAGTTACAATGAAGATTTTTCTCGACATCGGCACATTGATAATGCTTGGGTACTTGATTCAACAATTCCACTGATAAAAAACATAACTTCTAAAAGCAAAAAAAATGGAGAAAATTGCACAATTGTCAATTTCAAACTTTCAGTTCTTCAAGAAAATAGTGACACTCGGCTATTAACTTTAAGGCTTTAAAGAATAAGACGGCCGTCTTGCAAGTTGAGTTCCACTCAGAAAAATTGGTAACAACCGAGAAGATTACCAGGATCAATTTTCTAAGAAATCCAAAAAAAAAAGTTTACCTTGAAAGCAAGGTAGAAAGATTAACAACTTTAACTAATCACTTAAAAGTTGTGCCTATCAAAGTCATTAATGAGATCAGGTTGATGTGAAAACTTCAAGAGCAAAATAATTATGCAATAAAGAAATACAAATTCCTTTATGTGTACCGCTCGGCCTGCCAATTAGAAATTTTATTTTTAGTCTTACCGTGTGAGGAGGCGATATAATTATGCAATAAACAAATGCAAATTCCTGATGGGCGTTCCCGCCAATTAGACAATTTATTTATAGTCTTACTGTGTGAGTGAGCGATATCTAATCCAGCAGTGCAAGCTTTATAAGGATGAGTGCCTTCTTTTTTCATTGCCGAATTTGAGAATGAACTAAAAATCTTTGTGCACGATGAATTACTTTTGATATGAATCTGACTCTAACACCCCTTTAAATTAATATGCTATCATATCAAAGATATAAATTCATTGTCTATTTAAATCTTATGTAATTAAGTAAAACTTCTGTACGATACTTTGAAATCCATTTTTCCTTCTATAAATAGCTCAAAAAATATTCATTTGAAACTTTCCCTCCTCTTTCTTTAATTTATTCTTAGAATCCTTCAAAGTCAATTCTTATTTTTGCTAATAATTTTATATTCTCAAATTTAGAAGTTTCTTTAAACACTAAATAAAATATCAAGTCACCAACAAAAGAATATGAGATTGAAGAAGGTTTTACTTTGGTTGTTAAAAACCATACAACTAGAAAACCAGACACAAAATATTCAGGTCAAGATGACTTGATTGACTTTCGAGCCCGTTTCAAGTTTAGAACCTTGATTTGCTTAATTTTTGGGCTGGATTCACGTTGACACAAACTAAATGTGAACCAAATTTGACCCAAGAACCCGAACTTACCCAAAAACTCAAACTTAACAAGAATGATCATTACGTTTTATGCTAAACGAGTTGTTTGAGGCAAGTTCAAGTTAGTTAAGATGAAGACGAGTTTGAATAGAGTTAGAATTTCCAATCTGTTTAATAAATAAATCGGGATTGAGTCAGGTCAAATTCAAACCCAACCCGTAAAATTGACTTGACACCCTAGTTTGATTGTGCAAGTTCCAAAGGATGGCGAGCTTCCAAGGTGGACGACTTGCTTTCTTATCTGAGATAGAATTGAGTTTGCGCTGATCGAGGCGAATTCAATGGATTTGAGCAAGTTCATCATTTATCATTCTCTTGACCAAGACCTGAACCTATCTGCTTAACCTGCATCAATCACTTGGAATATTTGGATACACAAACAAAACTAAACAAGCAGTAGATTACCACAAATCAAGTATAAGGCTACAGCCTGCAGTCCCAATCAACAAAAACACAACCGAAAACGAAAAGAATTGAAATGAAAAAGAAAAGAGGTAACCCTTCTTTTTTTTTGCAAAATAAAAACCTTAACAAAATCTTAATAAATTTATAAAGCATCAAATAAATTTTGACAACACAACGTGAACAGGTCAGCCAAGTTGCTCGAATTGATGGACTTTCATTGATACAAAACAATCCCATAAATTTTGAAAAGCATATTACTAGATCAATTATTAAAGCCCATCATTAAAATCTACTAAATTAATTTTATAATTTATGTTATCACACTTAATTTTCAGATTTTGTTCGCGTACATGGGAGTCTTTAAGTGGAGCTTTTTAAATGTAAAATCTTCTGTTGGAATCACAACAAATTGACTACTCATTGCTAAAGATTCATGGAATTTCCCAACCTTGGCGGTTTTCACTAGTTTTCAACTAAAGTTCCTTAAGCGCCCCCTATTGATTTGAAATGAACTTTGCGGAGGAAGTTTTATCGTGTTTTCTTATTTGTTTTCTTTTCTTTTTTTCTACAACAGTTAATATATTATTTACAACGTCATTACTTCAAAGGGAAATAACTTCAATCTCTTGCAAAAACTTGTGTTTATAAAGAGTTGGTGCAGTCGACTTTTGGATTGATTTGTAAATCAATGAAACTTAGATTTGCAAACCTGAATCTATCTCTCTCCGTCCCTAAACTCATTCTCCCATGCCACCGCCACCTTCCAAAACCTTAAACCAAATTAAATCTCCCAAAACAGAGGCAGGCCTCTCCCCCCAAAGTTCAACTTGCTATCCACCTGTTGTGATTATTCTACATAAAACACTTTTAACTTGCAATCCATACATCCAATTTATTAAAATTAGCATTATTAATTAGCTGCCAACATCTCAAACCTCTCATTTGAAAGTCCTAACCAATCAAATAAAACATGAACATCCAAAATTCAAACTTCTGCACCCCTAGAACCCCAGTAAAACACACAATCCTCTATCAATTAATCGCCTTAAAAATTTAAAACACTTAACTGCATCAATCAAGGACAAAACAAATTAAGTTTACCTCACACTAAAATGCATTTTGAAATACACGAGATAACAAAAGAATAAGTATCTGAGTTAAAGTTGTAGAATCAAGACTGACAAAATTTTACAGAAATAGAATCAATGTTTAGCACAATTCATGAAGCGGACAATTATAAACTTTACTCCGACTTACAAATTGACACTGGACATGCTGCCAACAAAAATGGTAAAATCATACTTGCTTGCTACAATATGTTAGGTCAACTTTTAGTGAGTTGCATTTAAAAATCTATATATAAACAAAAACACCAAATAAAGCCCTCCCTAAACCCTAAACATCTAAAAACAGTTCAAAAAATTATCTATTAAATTTTACACAAAACATACTTCAGATTTCAAGCTGAAACCTACTTAGCAAATCTACTCAACCAAGGACATCAAGAATCGTATCTTTAGACAATCTCAAACATGTTATCATATGTACAGATCAACTGTCAGATAAAAAAAATTCAAAGCAGGAAACACTTGGTACATAAAAATATATAAAAAAAGAACGTTGAACCTCTAAAGCACCAAACAAAATACTAAAATGCATAGAAAACATGTGCAGAATTACTGCATTGATACAAAGAAATTGGATGGGAGAGTATTACAGCCCAAACCAAGAAGACTTAAACAACAGTTCGCAAAAACGGTTTCAGAAGACTTGCACAACACTTCTCAAAATCAGTTTTGAATATGATGCAACAATCCCAATTTTGGCGGCTTAGAAAATTTTGGTGTTTAGTTTTCTTCTTTACTTCTAGTTCTTTAGAGTAAATTTAATTCAAAAGATATTTTTATCAACCTTAACACTTAAAATTTCCTTATATGAAATAGAAAAGTAAATTTTCTTATATGAAATAGAAAATTTACTCAGAACAAAGCATATAATTACAAAAAGAAATTGTAATATAATATTATGACTAAGAGGCAGAATGTATCTATATATCTATCTACCTATCTATTTTGTCACCTAATTCTTAAAAGACCAGCGTCGCTCACTTTTTCTATAACAAATAAAGTATTCTAACTTTTATATGCTTCAGATAAAAGTTGCAGAAATACTCAAGATGATAATCAAGTTGGCTGCTCCTAGAAGGAAAAGCAAACTGGAAAGGGAAACACACCTGCTTTGCTAGATTGCAAGCACGGTCTGGAGAATTCAAAATTTCATAATAGAAAACTGAGAAGTTCAGCGCCAACCCCAGTCTTATTGGATGAGTTGGGGCTAGATCGATCAATGCAATGTCCTGCAAATCATCAACAGTGCATATATCAAACACATACACGTCAAATCAATAAAAGGTAAACTTAAAATGAACAAAATAAATATAAAGGAAGACACGATCACATAGTTCAAATTATATGAATAAGCTGCTAAATAAATCAGCTTCTCCTACATGCAAAATCTGATTGATGCATAATGAAGTGGAGAAACTGAGGAAAAGGTCTCCACCTGAGCAGATTTATAAGCTAAAAGTGTGTTCTCAGCAGCTTCCTTCCTCTCTGCTCCAGTCTTGAACTCCGCTAGATACCTGTGCACATGAATCATTCACGTATATTTAGCATGAACCAAAAATCTACGTATTTATTCCTATTTGTTATTGGTAAAGCCTTACAACTCGGCTGTCAAAACGGCTAGTTGTTCGTGAACATTTCGTGTTCAGCTCGTTAAAAAACTTGTGTTTGTCGTGCCCGGCTCGTTCAGAAACTTGCTAGGTTACGAGCCAAAACATGAACAATTATTTTGTGCTCGATATATAAAAAAATCAAACGCGAACAAAGACTGTTCGTTAATATACGGCTTTTGGCTCGAAATATATATATATATATATAAGCCGTTCGCCCGCTACTCTTTGCTAGTGCAGCCTAGCGTAAGTCACCTATTTTTTTAAAATTATAATTTAAAGGACTACAAAGATTTATAATCTAAGTAAAATTATTAATTAAAAAATAAAATTAAAATATATTAAAATATATTTAAATGATATTTAATATAAATATTAAGATTTAAATCTTGCTCCAACTCTTAAAGTCCTAAGGCTGCGTGACTAGGGTTGTCAAAACGACTCTTTGCTCGCGACATCTCGTGTTTGACTCGCTAAGAAAAAGAGCCGAACACAAACATTGGTGTTTTTTAACGGGCCAAACACGAGTGAGTCACAAGCAGCGTTTGGACTGCTCTTGTTCAGGTCTTTTACACCCCTACTTACAACCTGTGATAATCACCCTTCATCTTGAGATAGAACACTTTTGATTCAGCTGCCTTCGCAGAAGGAATGAGATTAGAATCAAGCAGCTTTAAGATCCCATCACAGATCTTGCTGAGCTCATGCTCGATCTTGCCACGATACTCCTTGATCAAAGCCACATGATCCTCATTCCCACGGCTCTCTTCCTTCTGCTCAATGGAAGAGATAATCCTCCATGAGGCACGACGAGCACCAATCACATTTTTATATGCAACAGATAGAAGATTGCGTTCTTCCACAGTTAGCTCCTCCTCATCAACTGTTTTAGCCACTTTCTCCATAAAATCAACCATCTCTTCATATCGCTCAGCCTGCTCAGAGAGCTTGGCCAAGTAAACATTATCCTCACGAGAGGGCTCCGCAGGTGACATTCTCACTTCTGCTATATATATTACGAATCACTATTCTCGCCCAACTCTGCAAAACATCCAAAATCTTCTAAATGTAAATATTTTCTCCATAAATCCACATAGATATGAAGTGCGCCGAGTAAAATAAACAAGTAACGCAAACAAAAGCAAAAGAATAACCGAAACTGAAAATTGCTTTTAACAACAAATTGTAAATCAGACATTACAAACCGATTAGGGTTGGTATCGATCAACTTTCATAGGTGAAAGCAATAAAAATACCTTGGAATCACTCGATGGCCTCCCGTCGCAAATAGTAACTTGTTAAAATAAAATGGCATCAAGTTACCGTTCCTAATCTTCAAAGACGTCGAAGAGATTCCACAGGATCCCAAAAATAAAAAAGAAAATCGTGCAAATAATTAATTTTTTTAATCGAGTGATCAGAGTCCCCCAGATCTGCCTTCCCTCTAAAGAAGTGCTCAGAAGGCCAATATTTAGATTTGAGAAGATCCAAATCACCAAAAAAAAAAAAAACAATTATGAATGAAGCATTATGTTCCCCAACTTACAAACTACCGAAATAAACCAGCAATACGATAAAAACATGAGAAATAACATTTTAGCAATAGTCTGTAAATCGGAAACTATAACTTGATAAAGAAGGTATTGACCCAACTTTCCTATTTAAGAGCGCTCAGAAAAGAATCCAGAAAGGAAGACAGATCAAAACGAAAAAAAACAAGATATAATCACGTCATGGCTTCCTGAAACAAAAAAGCAACGCGTCGTACCGAATACAACATGCAGTGTATCTCATTAACTCGGTTTCTGATCACCAAAGAGTCCCAAATAAAGCCAAAAGATCTAACAATAAGCATTTCTACCAAAAGGAAATTCAGAGTCAGCCGCGACAAAAATGATATAAATTAACTAAAATTAAAGTCCCCCATACGTTCCTTCCAACAATAAAAAGCTCCCTAGGGCAAGCTTTTGTAGATCGATGCTAGATATCACCAAAGCAACATCTGAATCAAGGGAACAGAAATACAAGGGATGAACCGAGAAGGGGAAAAAGAAAAACCTACCTACCTCCTTCTTCTCCCGACCTGGATCTCCGTCTCCTACTCTGTACTTCTTTCGTGCCGACTTCGGTAGAGAGAGAGACAGAGAAGAAAGATTTTCCTAACAGAGCCAGAATATATGCACCAATGACAGGAACGGCTTCTCTGCAATGTAGTCAACCCCGTAAATAATAATAAAGTACCTACCAGAGCACCATTTCATCTGTATATTTTAGGAAGGAGCCTATTTATTATTATTATTATTATTTTATTTGGAACCATTAAGAAAATTTAAATAGAGTTAATAATATAGGTGTAGCTCCCATTTTAATTTAAAATGTATTTTTTTATTATGATAAATTGGTTACTTTCAAAGATTTGTTCTAGGCACACTTATATTTTGATGTCTTATTTTATATTTATTTCATTTTCTTTCTAATAAATTAGAATATTTTTTTATCTTCTTAGCATTTTAAGTTGTCATTATAATTTATTTGAAATTTTAATTTTCATTATAAGTTAAAAGCTTCTAATGAAAAACTATTTTGTAATCATATATGATAAAATGTTATGGTGAATTTTAAAAAATATATTTTAATTATCTTATGAAACTTTTTTTTAAGTATTTTTCACAATGCCACTTTACAATCACATTTATAAAATTTGAAGACTTTCTTTTCTTTTTCCAAGCCCTCTTCTAATAGATAGAGGGAGAGAAAGAGAGATTTGTGATCGGTGAGCTTAGAACATGGACTTTTTGGTAAGAGGAATAAATTACTAACTGCCCAACAATAATCTCATCAACATGGATATACATGTTCATTCTTATATTTGGATGGAACCTTATTTTAGATGAAACGATTAATTTATTTTAGATTAAATTTCTGAGTTCTTCTCCTGGATTTACGTTGTTTCACCCTGATAATTACACAACATCTGTTACCTGACCTCCACCATTAGTCTTTCTTCATAACATGCAAGTCTTCACCACTTCCTTAGTGGAAGCCACGTCAATAATCCCCACCCATGTAATATTATTTTTGGTTTCGGCTAGTTAATGGTCGGTAAAATCTTATAATATACATTGACATAATGAAACTATTTCAACTGGACTAGCTCCGTAGTTATTACCATTTTGGGTTTTTCACGTAAAAACTCATAGTTTTCCCTCTATCAGCTCTTCCCTTGCCAGTATGTGTGTTGGATTATCTTATAGTGCTAAAACATTAATATATCAATCAACCAAAGAAAATTATTCGGCACAAAACAAATTTCATTTCGTTTTTTTTTTTTGTGGTTGTAACTATATTTATTAAAATATGATGGCAGTAAAAAAAATATTGTGGCTTAAAAAAAACTATATTTATATTTCTGCTTTCTTAAAAAAAAAATTTCTTATCACAATTATGTAAAAATTGGAGACTAAACTAGAATCTTACCAATGATAGATCGTTATCTTGACTCTGATTTAATTGTTACTTATCATCACAACAATTTGCTAAGTTCATATAGAATTTGAATTTAGCAATCGGTAGATATATTCTCATAAAGTCGACTATATTATCATAAGTTCATGATCTTGAGATTTGTGCCAATATATTTTATGTAAATTTAGGTATAAGATGGGTAAATACATGTAGGGCTGTCAAAACTACTCGTTGTTCGCGAACAGCTCGTGTTTGGCTCGTTAAGAAGCTTGTGTTTAACTCGTTCGCTAAGTTGACGAGCTAAACACGAACAAAATTTTTTATTTTTTCTTTTTTCGGTTGTTTTGGCTCGAAATACTACTCATCACTTATATATATATATATTGATGAGTAGTATTTTTTAAAAATTTAATTGACTACAAGACTATAAAGATTTATAATCAAGTATTAATTAAAAAAATAGAATACAAATTATTAAATTAGATTCAAATGATGTTTTAATATAAATAACAATTTTTAAATATTGCTCCAACCATTAATATCTTATGGCTATGTAATTAAAGTTATCAAAACGACTATTTGTTTGTGAACAACTCACGTTCCATTAACTAAGCAAACAAGCATAACACGAACACACTTTTTTGAACTCGAAATATAAACAAGCCGAACAAAATCGGGCCTATTTACACCCCTAAATATATGGAATTGATGGCATGAATGTAAATTTTACAATTACGAAACTGCCACTTATAAATATTGAAATGCAGTAGCTGCCTTGCCTCCTCCCCTATACTCCCCTATTAGGGGCGATGCCGATCGGGAAATAGTGAGTCAACTGACGACGCAGGTGTGATTGGTGAGGTAAGGCATGAAAAGATAGGATGTGATGAAGTCAGGCCGACGCGATTTGAGATTTGGTCAAATCGTATCTTAGATTGTTAAATGAAATATATTTTGCATGGAAATGAGATGTATCATATTTTACTTTCAACCGAACGACTTCTTATCAATCTATATAGTAAGAGGCGTTTGTAGCGTCATTCATGTTGAGTGCGAATTGATGTGTATAAATACATACCACATAATTTTTATATATTTACTTATCTAATAGCTAAACTTTAATTTTTACCTCAAGAGAATAGTAGTTTGATTCAGTTTAATTTAGAACAGGGGTTGAGAAGTTGGGCTCTGATAAACGTCATAGATAAGAGGTTTAACATATATGGGCTTGAGCAGGAATTTAATATTAAATTAATTCAGAGTTAAGATGAAAGTATTTGTATTGCCTGACCATGTCACCACCACCCTCGTCGAGCCAAATAAAACGCCGTCACACGAGTCGCGCCAGCAGCCAAGCACCTATTGGGCCGACCACCTTACTTCGGCCGGCCAGCCACCTCCATTGGGCTTACCAAATTGCTCTAGCCGATCGATCACTCTTGGTTTGCCACACGACGACGACAAGCTCCAGCGACAAAAAACGCTCCAAATCGATAGATTCGAGCAAGGAAATGATTGAAATATCTTTTATTGCCCTCCATAATGCAATGACATATATGTAATTTTTTCTCTCTTCTATTTTACTTCTATAAATTGAGAACTATTGACTTGTGTAAAAATGGCTTAAGTAAAAATGGCTTAAGGGATCATCTCTCTCTCTCTCTCTCAACCCCCATGTAAAGGTAGCTCTCCCATTCTTCTCTCTTGTAACCCCCTAAGTTAAATGAAATAAAAAAAGTCAAATAGTCGAGGAACACGCCTCTTTACCTCCCACAAAGCAAATATCTTAATTTATCTCTCTTACTTTTTCTCTCCTTCAATCGTGGTGTTATATTATTTGGGCAGTTATGGGATAGATTTAGATTCAACATCCTAAAATGTTTTGTGAACGTGAAATGTGATAATAACAAAAAAATAAGCATGTCGAGAATGAGAAAATCCTAAACGGAGAAAAAATTAAAAGACAAAAAAAGGCAAAAAAGAATAGCAAAAATAAAAAAAAAAACAACAAGAGAAAGAAGAAGAAGGACAAATTTCCCCCATCCTTCAAGAGGAAACAAACAAAGAAAAAAAAGATAATTTTTTTCCTTTCGTTCGTTTGAGTTTATTTTGTTAGAAAGAAGAATGGAGAAAGAAAAAGAAAAAATCTTTCACTCAAAACTTCTAAATCACATCTTGAAACTCGACTCGAAAAATGTTATAGAGGTGGTTCCTTGCCTAATAGTAACGAGATCTGCGAAGGAAATGGTGCAAATCACCCCATCAGCGAGTCGGTGGTTACCCCGCGAAGGCAACAACAATATTCGCCTAAGACTTGACAAATTGTGCGACCCGTCGAAGTTAACTTTTCAACAATAGCAAAAGAAACCAGACAAGAAGTGAGACTTGAGTTGAGCAAATACGATTTCTAAAAATCTAAAAACTAACCCACAATCTTCTAAAAATAATGCCTCAAAATCAAAACATGAAAAACTACAAAATGAGTATTAAAAACCAACTCCTTTTAGTGATTTATGAGATTTTTTTTTGTATTTATGAGTCATTTATTTTTATTGCAAATTCGCCTCCAAATCGGTAGATCCGAGCAAGAAAATGATTGAAATATCTTTTATTGCCATCCATAATGTAATCACATATATGTAATTTTATCCGTCTCTCCTGTTTTACTTCTATAAATAGAAAATCCTTGACTCGTGAAAAAATGGCTTAAGGGATCTCTCTCTCTCAACCCCCGCGTAAAGGTAGCTCTCCCATTATTCTTTCTTGTAACCCTCTAAGTTAAATGAAATAAAAAAAAATCAAATAGCTCGGGAACACCCCTCTTTACCTTCCATAGAGCAAATATCTTAATTTATCTCTCTTACCATTTCTCTCCCTCGATCGACGTGTTCTACTTTTTGGGCTGTTACGAGATAGATTCAGATTCAACGTTCAAAAATGTTTGGTAAACGTGAAATGTGATAACAAAAAGAAAACAAGCACGTCAAGAAGGAGAAAATCCTAAGCAGAGAAAAAAATAAAAGACAAGAAAAAGTCAAAAGAGAATAACAAAAATAAAAAAAGAGCAAAAAAAGAGAAGAAAATAAGAAAGAAGAAGGACAAATCTCCCTCACCCTTCGAGCGGAAGAAAATTTTAAAGAAACAAATAAAAAAAAGATAAGTTTTTCATTTCGTTAGTTTGTGTTCATTTTTTTAGAAATAAGAAATGAGAAAGAAAAAGAAAAAATCTTTTACTTAAAACATCCAAACCACATTCTTAAACTCGACTTGAAAAATGCTATAGAGGTGGTTCCCTGCCTAATAGTAACAAGATCTGTGAAGAGAATGGTGCAAATCACCCCATCAGCGAGTCTCGGTAGTTACTTCGCGAAGGCAACAACAATATTCGCCAAATACTTGGCAAATTGTGCGACCCGTCGAAGTTAACTTTTCAAAAATAGCAAAAGAAACCGAGCAAGGAGTAAGACTTGAGTTGAGCAAATACCATATCTAAAAATCTAAAAACTAACCCACAATCTTCTAAAAATAATGCCTCAAAATCAAAACATGAAAAACTAAGAAATGACTATTAAAAATCAAGTCATGTTGTGATTTATGAGATTATATTTTTTTGTATTTTTTAGCTATTTATTTTTATTGCAAATTCGCCTTCAAATCGGTAGATCTGAGCAAAATGATTGAAATATATTTTATTGCCCTCCATAATGCAATGACATATATGTAATCTTATCTGCCTTTCTTGTTTTACTTTTATAAACCTTAA